GGGTGCCTGCAATCCCAGCTACTTGGGAGGCTGAGGCAGGCGAATGGCATGAACCCAGGAGGCAGAGCTTGCAGTGAGCTGAGATCTCACCACTGCACTCCAGCCTGGGTGACAGAGCAAGTCTCCATCTCAAAAAAAAAAAAAAAAAAAAAAAAAATTAGCCAAGCGTTGTGGCGCATTCCTGTAATCCCAGCTACCGGAGGCAGGAGAATTGCCTGAACCCGGGCGGCAGAGGTTGTAGTGAGCTGAGATCACGCCATTGCACTCCAGCCTGGTGACAGAGCAAGACTCTAAAAAATAAATAAATAAAATGATGACTAGGGGCCAGGCACAGTGGCTCACACGTGTAATCCCAGCACTTTGGGAGGCTGAGGCAGGCAGATCACCTGACGTCAGAAGTTCGAGACCAGCCTGGTCAACATGGCGAAACCCCATCTCTAAAACAATTTAAAAAATCAGCCAGGCATGGTGGTCCATGCCTGTAGTCCCAGCTACTCGGGAGGTTGAGGCAGGAAAATCACTTGACCCAGGAGGTGGAGGATGCAATGAGGCAACATTGTGCCACTGCACTCCAACTGGGCGACAGACCAAGACTCCGTCTCAAAAAAACAAAAACAAAAAATGGTGACTGGTAATGGTGAAGACAAACTATGAATAGACTTGTAAATATGTGTGCAGATTTTAAGGAAGCAATTTTTAAAGGAAAAAAATTCTCTCAAGTGTAAAAACGTAAGAGGCTTGTCTCAAAGAGCAACTGATCTGAAAGAAAGATACTCATTTAAGAACGGGATAGACAAGCCAACATGGTGGCTTAGGTCTGTAATCCCAGCACTTCGGGAGGCCAAAGCAGGAGGACTGCTTGAGCCCAGGTGTTCAAGATCAGCCTGAGGAATACAGTGAGAACCTGTCTCTACAAAAAAAATTTTGAAAAATTAGCCGGGCATGGTGGTGCACATCCATAGTGTCAGCTCATCAGGAGGCTGAGGCTGCAGTGAGCCAAGATGGCACCACTGCACTCTAAGCCTGGACTATGGAAGACCCTGTCTCCCCTGGGCCCCCCAAAACAGGATAAGGCAAGTTTGTGGCACACTTACAACTGGTTGGTTATTCAGAGAAGCTAGAAATGTACTAGGCATAGCAAAATATTTGAAATTAATGTGGCAGACAGGAACAAGAGCTAGCTGTCTGCTCCAGCTCTGTGTGGGATGATCAAGGTAGAATACTGTGCAGGACCTGGTGGGTGTAGTCCAATGTTCCTAAAACTAAAATCTGATTTCCAAAGCATGACCCTAAGTGAGGACTTTGTGATGAAACAGATATGGTCCACAAATGAATGCTTTTTACCCACAGCTAATAAAATATGTGATCCCTTAGGGAAGGTTATTGCTATTTCCAGCCTCAATGGTTGTATTCTTATTATCAAATTTAAGCATATAACAAATACGAAAACTATTCGTGACAGACAGCAAGTTGTAGAATGCACCTTTAATGAAGCTGCTAATACTTGACTTTTAAGACTAGGATACTTTTTAAAACTATACTTAATACTAATGCTATTGTTTTATTTCATATATTGTATGTTTATATTTTAAGAAATAACATGCCACATTTAAATGCTGCTTTAGTCTCTTATATGTATGATTATTTATATATGAGATTTCCCTAAGAAGGCAAAGGTCTGAGATTGGTGAATCTTCAAGTAATTTGAAACACTAAATTTTTAACATTACGAGTATTTCAAATTACTTGAGGATTCACCAATCCCAGACCTTTCCCTTCTTATGAGTTCTTGCAGAGTTTGTCAGAAATTCCTTTTCTGTTTAAGAAAACTCCAAAGAATTTCAGGAGTGGTAGCATAACTCCAAAGAGGTGCACAGTCGAGGCAGCTGGAACAGGGGGGGACCAGTGAGTTGCCCAGTTTCACCAGAAAAGACATAAAGCCAACAAGAGATGCTATATCAGCTAACTTCTTGTCCACACCTTTTTCTCATTGTTTTTAATACTCATTGCTACTATATTTAGTTTTCTTTACATTTTACACAATTTTAAAGCTATGCTATGTTGGAAACCCTGAAACATGTGTAAAGGACTTCAGATTAGAGAACTTGAAATGCATAAAGATATGGCAATTACATTTTACTTGCTTACTTGAAACAGCAGTTATCTTCACACTGAAAACTAAAGGAGAGCAGAGAAATCAACTAAATCCTGTTTTTGGCTTGAAGAGGATTATTATCCTGAATCTCTTTTACTGTGGTAAAATACACATAAAATTTTCCATTTTTAGGTGTACATTGTGGCATTAAGTACATTCATGTTGTTGTGCAACTACCATCATCCATCTCCAGAATTTTTTCATCTTCCCCAAATACAACTTCATTAAACACTAACTCTCCATTTCTCCCTCTCCCCCAGCTCCTGGCAACCATCAGCTTCCTGGCTGTATGAATTTAACGACTCTAGGGGCCTCATATGAGTGGAATCATACAGTGTATGTCCTTTTGTGTTTGGCTTACTTCACTTAGCATGGTATCTTCAAGGTTCATCCATGTTGTAGCATATGTCAGAATTTTCTTCCTTTTAAGGCTGAATCATATTCCAATGTAGGTATACGCTACATTTCATTTATCTACTTATCCATCAATGGACACTTGGGTTGCTCCTACCTTTTAGCTATTGTGAATCATGTTGCTATAAACATGGGTGTACAACATCTGTCAGACTGTCGCCTTTCACATCTTTTGGGTATGTATCCAGAAGTGGAATTGCTGGATTATATGGTATTTCTAGGTTTAACTGCAATCTTCCCATTGTCACATACTTCACCTAAACTGAAAAATGCAATGAATACACCAACCAAACACATATTGTGTTTTAAGCAAGGCAGTGGAAAAACCCCATCGGATCTGTCTTGCATCACTTCTCACTTAACCTGTTGGAACACCTTACATCTAAGAAATGCCTTGAAGATGCCAAAGACCTCCAGGTCCAGGCAAGCTTCTGAGCTCCTGCTGCAGACTGAGCCTCAGCCTTCTTGTTTAGAGGAAAGGGGACTCAACACAACTTTATCCGCAGGGGTGACTGCAAATGACACCCAACACTCAGTTCTACAACACCCCACAGGCCTGGCTGTAGATTTTGAGGTCAAGGTTGGGTAAGTATAAAACCCAATGAATTTTTATAAAACTAGCAACGGGGAAATCAGGAAGATCAGGGAAGGTGGTGAAACCTTCACCAAGGCCAATGTTTGCACAACACGTTACTTCTTGAAGCACTTTTTTCCACCTGCTAAAACACTAAACATTAGGAGTATTTCAAATTACTTGAGGATTCACCAATCTCATAACTTTCCCTTCCTAAAAGTTCTTCCAGAGTTTCTGTCAGAAATTCCTTATAAGAAAACTCCAAGGAATTTCAGGAGTGGTAGCATAATAACCGGGGAGAGCCCTCTCTGTCTGTAATTAATGAAAAACATAGTGTAGCTTACACAGCTTAGAGAAATTGTAGATCTATGAGGACATGTGAAGGTACTGGGCTATAATGTGGTCAATGTATCTGAAAAATAACAGTTCTGGGCCAACCAAGTGTGGTTCAAGGGATCACTACTAAGAATGATTCCTCTTTGGGTAAAGAGGGAAGAGACACTAAAAGGAACTGCAATCGCCAGCAAAGCAACACAGTAACCATCGATGTCTGACTACTGGCACAATGAAGGACAAGACAGAACCTCTCTGTACCAGGGCTACTCCCTTCCAGTTCTGTTTCTTTCCCATTGTGTCCCAGTGGAGGACCTGATAATACACCTGGCCCATATCTAAGACATGGAGTTGGCAGTGCTGATAGTAGGTAAGGTTCACAGTATGTTAAAAAGTCACACGAGGCTGGGTGCAGTGGCTCATGCCTGTAATCTCAGCACTTTGGGAGGCTGAGGTAGGAGAATCACTTGAGGACAGGAGTTCGAAACCAGTTTGGCCAACATGATGAAACCCCATCTCTACCAAAAATACAAAATTAGCTGGGCATGGTGGCGCACACCTGTAATCCCAGCTACTCGGCAGGCTGAGGCACAAGGATTGCTTGACCCCGGGAGGCAGAGGCTGCACTGAGCCAAGACTTGAGCCACTGCACTCCAGCCTGAGACTCTGTCTTTAAAATAAACAAACAAACAAAACTCACATATGGTTTTCCCCTCCCTGGCCCCTCTTCTCTCTGTGGTAGGTAGGTTCAAATTAGGGCCTGACCTTGGTCATCTCCATTCTCTTTGCTCAAGCATATCGGTCACTGCTTTGGGTTCCCACACCAGTCAGACACCCACAGGCTCCCTGATACAGACATGAGCCTAGGAAGAGGTAACATACCCAATTAGGCTCTGAGCCTAAAATACATTCCATGAAATTACCTGAGCCGTGCACAGTACTGTGATCTAACACATAATCAAAGTCATGCACTTTGTTTCTTGTTTGCTATTGTTACATGTGTACAGTGTCCTTAGGAGTCTAGAGGGAAGAGGGATGATTGGCAGAGGGCATGTGAGAAATCCTGGGTTCTCCAATAACCACCTTTCACCCCTAGCAGTACTGTCTAGAGTAAGATGGAGGTTGAAGATGTGTGCTCTGTTAAATTTCCTAATCATGGCTGGGTGTAGTGGCTCATGTCTGTAATCCCATCGCTTTGGGAGGCTGAGGTGGGACGATCAATTAAGCTCAGGAGGTCAAGACCAGCCTTGGCAACATAGTGAACTCCTGTTTCTACTAAAAATTTGCAGGTAGGTGGCCTGAGCCTACAGTCGACTCGGGACTACTCGAGAGGTTGAGGCGGGAGGACTGCTTGAGCCTGGGAGATCAAGGCTGCAGTGAGCTATGATCACACCACTGCACTCCAGTGTGGGCCACAACAACAAAAAAATTTCCTAGTCTTTCATGCACATGTGATGCTGGCTTGGTGTTTACAGTTTCATATTCCTGAAATCCATTTGTGCCAGATATCACTGCAGACTAGTCTTTATTTGATAGAAATAAAATAACTTACATTTTATTTTCATGTAAAGGTGACAGCAGCAGCAATAACATAGGTATTCAGTAAATATTCTTTTGAATTAGGCCAGATCCTAAATATCCTGAAAGAAATACGACATGTCACTATCTACTCCTTCAAGACAAACACACACTTTTTTCTTTCCTCACTTCAGTAAGCCGGTTTACAATGATGGACTTTTATTTATGTAATAATTTCAATACTGTTCAACATATTGGGCTTTTTTTTTTTCTCTCTGTAAGTAGAATCTGATTTTGAAATCTAGCAGTGTACCAACAAATGCCAAGCTGTTCTAATTAGGTTACCTTTCACATTTATAAAAATGGTACAAAGTTCTCTGACTACTATTCCAGAAATACTAACTCATACTTACCTATTTGCAGCCTCCTAAAGGTTCCAAAGATCTTAATATATGTTCACTTAGCACAACACTGCTGCCCCAACAACTACCCCATGTTACAAAACAAGGCAAAGAGAAGCAGGACAACTCTCCCTATGCCCCGGGAGAAGTACGACAGAGGTACAGGGTAAGGGGGTTTCTGGGTCCCGGCCACCTGTTTCACATTCCTCGTTTGCCTTCTTTCTTCCTGGGCACGGTGAGGCTCTTCTGATGGAAGGCAAGATGGCTGCCATCCTTCAGTTATCACAGTACTGTACCTTTAGAATGGACAGCATCAGCACTGTGATAACTGAGCCAGGGCAGCCTGTCAGTCACTGTGTCGGTCAACGGCATCCTTTCTTGTGGCTGCATTACTCTCTCTGAAGGCTCCCCATGAAGTGAAGGACTAAAAGATCCCCTTCTGGTTGGAGACGTGAGGAGGCAGAAGAAAAAGAAGGATCAGGGCCCAGCAAGTGGTGAGGCTGAAATATTAAAAGGCCCAGTTGAATTATATTAGAATGAAAGATGAACACATGACTTATACATATTAATGAGGATGAAAACTGCATGATTAGGTTTTCACTCTGATAATACATCAAATATGCAGTAAACCTCCAGCATATTTCACACCCTATTTCTTCCATGCATGGATTCACTGACTGTGCCTCCCTGACCTCAATCATTGATTATATATATACTGAGGAACTACTATGTTCTAAGGCCTCTTCTAGATGTTCAGGAAATAAAGATAAATAAGACATGATTCCTGTCTTAAAGTGCTCATAACCAAACATGACAATAATACGTCACATCTGCCAAACATTCAAAAAGGGGCTGGCAATGAATTATTCATTAATTCATCAAAAAAGGATTCTGGAAATAGATTAAATATTACCCCATTTTATAGATAGAAAAAAAAATACAACTTAGAGAGGTTAGGTGATTTACCAGAGATCATATATTGCTAAGTTTTGGTGAACCCATGCCCAGATCCACGCTAAATGAGTGAACCCAGTGCTTTGTTTTCTCTACCCTACCCTAGCTGTCCAACTCCATCAACTGGCTATTCAGTTTACACAATTTCCACAAACAAAAGGATTTCTAAAAACATTTACTTTTTGCTTAGTTTTCTCAGTAACTGAGATCATGAAGCAGAAATTTGTGGGGTTTTATAATTAAGAAGAAAAATGCACATTAGCAAAAAATGACTTTCAATCCTCTTGCTCTGAGTGCTAAGAATGCACTCAAATTAGTAACATTGATATTTTTCACTATAGTATACGTCAATTCTATACCTATGGTGATACAACCTTCAGAATACCTTTTTAAAAAGTAATAACATATACACATTACTTGCTTTTAAATTATTTGTACCTTTGAGATGTACTCTGAAGTCATTTTAGGGATGCTTCTTACTTTTAATAAAAAGTTCAAAGGATTCTGAAATTGGAATTCAGGCATCAGAATATCAACTTATTAAAACCATGATTCACTTGGGTTTTTTCCATGTCATAAGGTTTCAAGTTATTTCAGTATGAGTGGAACTTGACAGATATTTGAAAAATAATTATGTTTTCATTAGGCATTTGCTCAATTTCAAAGACTCATTAAATGCATATTAGATATTCGCACTGTACTTCAAATAAGTCAGATAGATGAATCAATTCTTTATAAAGATCAGTGGAAGTCAGAAAATAAGAGTACACTGAATCTAACTCAACTATTAACTTTATGTACTATGAAAATCACCTTATCTTCAGAAAAGTAATATCCAATGAAACAATCCACCTACACACAAATTAAAGCAATACTGTCTAAAATGCAAAAATATCTAAAAATTAAGGAGGTCAACATCTAGGTCTTAGCCAACTGTAATACAGAGTTGAAACACGAGAGGGCAACGAAGATTTAAAAAAAAAAAAAAAAAAAATCACAGTTGGATCCCATAACCTAAGGTTCTTGGAAATAGTTGCACATTTTTACCCAAATTATAAACATCTGCTGCGTGAACAAAGATACTGTGATGACTTTAGAGTAAAATTTTAGATAGCTATTCCACTAAAAAGGTTAAGAAGATTACCAACTAATATTTCTTGACCACAAATTCTGTCAGCTTTGGAAAAATGAATACTTACCCTGAAATACTGAAGGTTGGGTAAGTTATGGAGACAAATAAATAATCCTGACATATTCAGTAGTTATTAGACTGTTCTTCACCAAAATAAGTGTGATTAATCACACCAAAATTAGTGTGATTCAATGTCTAAATATGAAATATAAATATGAAGCGAATGTACTGCAAAGTTGAAATCCACTCTATTAGCCGTCACCAAAACCCATGCAACAACTAAACATTTTTGGTACAATAAGTAAAAGATACTTCCTTTTTCTCCTTACTTTTTTGTCATTTGATTCCTTTCTACCTAAATGAGAAAAAAAAAGAAGCCAAGCATCCATAATAACAAGCAGCAAATTGTCATTATTCTGTGAATAGTTACTTAAATTAATATTCTCTCAGATTCTAAAGCAGTTTCAAGGGAGAAAAATATGGGTTTTCAAAATGGTATTTTTAAAATAAATGCTTCAAAAATGTGTCTTGCTTTTTCTTGAAAATTATGTTTATAAATGTGTGTTTCTGAAAATTTAAATTCATCAGAAGTATTTCTTTTTCAACATGTTTCTTCTAAGAACTGAACTGTCTAAACTTATAAACAAGTGACTACAGGTACTCCGGCTACAGTAAGAAAAAATAACTGCATACTGAGAGAGGAAGACAGAAAACAGTGAAGTAAAATGCTTTCTTCCAGGACCCAAACTGATTTTAAACTAGTTCTTCTATGTTAAAAATGATACAACTAGGAACAATTTCTTCATCACACATATACCAAATATTATCACAAAATCAGGTACTTATAAAAAACTGGCATACCAAAGAACTTTTAAAATAATATGGACTACAAGGCCAGGCATGGTGGCTCACACCTGTAATCTCAGCCCCTTAGGAGGCTGAGGCGGGAGGACTGCTTGAGTCTAGGAGTTCAAGACCAACCTGGGCAACATAGTGGAAGCCTGTCTCTACAAAAAATAGTATTAGCAGGGTATGGTGGCACAGGCCTGTAGTCCCAGCTATTTCGGAGGCTGAGGTCGGAGGATTGCTTGAACATGAAAGGCTGAGGCTGCCACGATTGCACCACAGCACTCCAGCCTAGGTGACAAAGATCTTTTCTTAAGCAATCAATCAACGTGGAATACAAAATATAAGCACAAAAAACACACTACATCCCTCTTATTTATAAACTAAAATGAAAATTCTGTTTTAAACCTTTAAGTATCTGATTATATATTAAATAATTGAAGGTAACATAAGTTGTTGGCCACGCAAAATATTTGAAAATACTTTTAAACTATAGTTTAGTATATTTAAATCCACTGGTCTTTTAACAAGTGCGATTTGTTTTCCAATTTGAAAATCATCATCTAATTCAGTGATACGATATAAAATGGCCAAATTTGACCACACTGAAATGTTATAAATATGTCAGCAAAAGTTGCTCAAATGTCAATTACTGCTTTGTCACAAGTACACAGAATGTATACTTGCATTTTATTGCAAAATTTTGCTATACTAGGTTTTTAAAAACTAATTTGTGCCAAAGATTCATGGAGGTGGCAGGTTAATTTTCTTCTCTTTGATGGAAAAAGAAATAGGCAGAAAGGCAAGAAAAAGTCAAGGACCACTGCCCTATGCAAAGTTAGCCCCAATTCTCAGAGAAGAGCATTAACTGAGAGTGATTAGAGGAGTGTCATCATTTTACTGACTTTGAGCACTGGCCCCTAATTAATCTCGTGCTACATGACTTTAGCAGGTCCATGTGGACGAAAAAGAAAAAACCCTATGGACACAGCAACACAGAGAAGAATGAGCTTTCTTCCTCATGTTAACCAAGAGTTTAGTCCAAAAAGGCTCCAAGAGACTAAAAATTTATAAATACATGACTGGCCCCTCTTATTATATTAAATGGGCCTCTCCCCTTCAAACATGTACCCAGCACAAATATTTTTAGTCCAACTGTATACTCCACAGTTAATTTACTTTCCGATTTTGCTCTACATCACATTTCACCACTCTCACCCCTCAGATTTTAGATTTTATGGTTTGCTCACAAGTCAGTTTTATATGCTAGATAACTTCAAAATGATCCACCCCTGGCTAAACATCTCTAAAAATCCTGATGGTCTCCAATTAATCTATGATTTCCTTATTACTGCAGCACCACCATTTGAAAATGCTGGGTCTCGGATTTTCAAATTCCCTTAATGGACAACCAAAGGGGCCAATACCAAAGACTTGCAATGACCTCCAACTGTACAGCCTTGGGCTGCTCCAGGAACACAATTACCCTCCACGTCCCTGCAGGTTCCATCTTTCTCGAAGCTTCTATTCCCACATCTACAAAATGAACGCATTTCTACCAGTAACACATGCCACAGTGGCACTGCACTCATTAACTGTTGTGTTGTATACTGCAATTTAATGTGGTGCTGTTTATATCTTATTTCCTCAAGTGAAGAGGACTCTTTCTAAAGTCAGAAACTGTTTTACTCACATCCCTTCACAACACTTAGTGGTCATTTCCACAAAATGCTAGCTCAACAAATACTGATTAATTGATGAACTTCTCCATTTCTCAGGGAGCCTCTAAACAGTTATCAACAAGAGTATGTTTAATTCCAGTCTGTCTACAAGGTCTTAGGTGAGGTGTTTGGCAGTTTGTCATCTATAAAATAAAGGGATAGCACTGAATAGCCCCTAAGTTCCTTCCAGTGCGATTTCTGAATCTCATTAGACAAAATCCAAAGACAGCACTACCTCTATTCATGTTAGCACTGTACTTTTTTTGGAGGAAAGGAGTCAGCAACCTTGTGGGCCCAGTCACCAGTGGAACCGTGATTTGGTGGGGATGGGGGCAGAAAGTAGATGAAGCAAAGAAAAAATAAATGGGAGTGAGTGACAGATGAGTAGAATCACTAAAATGCCACCAGGTGTCACAATTGTTACTTTGCCACACACTGTACCTTTTGCTATGCCCAGTCTTTTTACAAAAGCAGCAATAGCCAGGTATGTGGGTATCCAAATTTTCCCATCACACCCCTACTAGCCGTTCTAGAACCCGGGACTTTTACACTGATCTATTGTAATAGTAATAATGTAATACTTGGGGTCCCCAATCATCACATGGAACACAGCAGTGGAAAGTAGAAACACAAACATGAAATCACAGTATTTCATACAGTCACCACTTTTGAAATTAATCCATGGGGCTAGGCACAGTGGCTCATGCCTGTAATCCCAGCACTTTGGGAGGCCAAGGCGGGCGAATCGCCAGAGCTCAGGGGTTCAAGACCAGTCTGGCCAAAGTGGGGAAACCCCATCTCTACTAAAAATACAAAAAATCTGCCAGGCATGGTGGCGCACACCTGTAGTCCCAGCTACTCTGGAGGCTGAGACAGGAGAATCGCTTGAACCTAGGAGGTGGAGGTTGCAGTGAGCTGGTATCGTGTCACCGCACAGACTGAAAGACGGAGAGAGACTCTACCTCAAAAAAAAAAAAAAAAGAAAAGAAAAGAAAAAAAAGAAATTAATCCACAGACGAAAAGGAGTGATGCAGGCCTGAGCTGTCCAATGAAGTATAATAAAAGCTACACATGTAATTTTTAATTCTCTAGTAGCCACATTAATAAACAGGTGGAATTAATAGCATATTCATTTAACCCAATATATCTAAAACATTATCATCTAAACATGGAATCAACATAAAATTAATGAGCTATTCTACTGTCTTTTTCTGCACTGTCTTTGAAATCTGAAGAGTACTTTCCACTTACATATCCCAATTCTAAACCTTCATCAAAATACTTAATTTTTCTTTGAATTTCAAAACACTTAGTTTCAAAAGTAGATGCGTAAGCTCAAGTATGTTTCCAAACATAAATAGGCTTTCCAATAACTAAATCAAGTTATCAATTTTTAAAATTAAGTAAAATTTAAAATTGAGCTCTTCCTCACCCTAGCCATATTTCAGGTGGTTAATAGCCACGTGGCTAGTGGCTACCATATTAGGGCAGGTATCCTGTCTCTGTCACCTGGATTCTTTTAAAAACCTGAACCAGAGTAAAAGATGTTACCCCATCAACCAGCAAGTCATCTTACAGCACCCACCAAGTGCTCAAATTATACCAAGTATTTTCTGCTCCACTTCCAATCCTTAAGTTGTCAACACTTCAGTGATTATCATTTATTAGGCAGCCCTTCCAAAAGACTGAGTAACTATTTTAGCTCAGAGAGGAAGGCATATCTCAATTCAGGGACTGAATGGAGACACTGTGATTCAAAGATAAGGAGTTAATTTCCAAGGTAAAGCTGGAAATCCTGACATCCTTACTTCTTTGTCCAAGGTATCAGTCATCCACAAAAGTTACAATTATTGTCTATACAATTATTGTTTATGAGCCTCTCAACTTACATACTCACAACAGCTGTCACTGCATCCTTTAGGTTCTCTGTCTTCCTGAAGTGCCCTCCTCGCTTCCTGAAACAACATTCTCTATCTAGAGCAGATTCTGCAGAGGAGCCCCTCTTTCATATTCTGAAAAGTGCTTGTTATTGTTCACACATCAAAACTTAGGAATAATAAATGAATCTTGAGCTATCCTATTTATCATTCAGTGGTCTAGGTACCCAACTCTAGAGGAAAGTTTTTCTGAAATACATGGAAAGTATCCCTCAACCCTCCCCTCAAGGAACCAATTATGAACACTACACAGTCTTCTATTCCTTCTCACTCCCCATGTCAAAGTTCACTGTGTTCGTTCTGCAGCTGATTTAAAAGTTGATCTTTTCAAGGAGCTGGATTCCTAAGGTAGTTCTATTTTGAGCCTTCTTCCTGTTCTGAAGCTAAAGTTGGAAGGGCTTAGGTGGTGATGTCATGGAAGGGAGACTGTTGGTTTTTACAGGAGGGTCTTCTCTGGCAACTCTGCGGATGCTCAAACGGGGAAAACTGAGCGCGTTACTTTTGATCTTTTCCCCCCTCCTTCCCTTTAGAATATCAGCGATTCCTTACCAGCAAGAAAACAAGTTCAAATAAGCCTGCAAACAGATTCACATATTTTACATGCTAAACATCTAATAAACGAAAAGACTAAGAAAAAGAAAAATGCCTCACTGTAAAGAAAAGAGGGTGACAACCTCTTTCTCCACCCGTCTCCCCAAATACCTGTAATAGGACAAGGGGAAAGAGGAGGGGAGGGTCAACTGGTAAGAAGAATAAAGGGATTATAAAGCTAGGAGGCTTTCAGAGGGAGACGCTGTTGGAATATTGAGGACAGAAGGAGACCCTTGGGTCCCTGCTCTTCCTCTGTGTTCTCCTCCCTTTTGGAATGGTTAGACTTGGGCTGGGTGTGTCTTCTGCTTGGGAGGCGTTTTTTTGGCGCTGGAAAAGCAAAAGGGGCCAGGGTGGGGCCTGGGGAAAGCAAGCCAGAGACAGGCTGCTTAGGCCTGGCTCTGGGTTAAGCTTAGGGGGAAACTAAAGGGGGCTATGGGATGAGAGCAGATTCTATTAGAAGACCCAGAGGGGAATAAAAAACAACGCACTGGCCGAAGGGGGTCACTTCTCTCTCTCCCTCAACCTAGGCCCAGGAGCTATTTGCTGGTTGGTGGGGGACACGTCCAGAGGGAAGAGAAAATCCCAAAACATCTGCCGACCACAACTTGCCGGGGGAAAGGGAGGCTGGGGACAGACATGCCAAATGAAATCAGCAGGTGAAAGCAACAATTTTTGGCCAATGCTGGGATTGGGGAGGGGAATAACTAAGAACCCTGGAGAGCAGAGAATTCCCTGGTTTCTTAGCTCACCTCTCCTCCAAAGCGGGGATAAGCACAGGTGTGGTCTTTCTCCAGGAAGGTGGCAGCTGGAGTGCGGATAGCAGAGTGAGGGAAAGAATTCCTCGCACAGGAAGGCAGGGAGAAGCCCTGGGGTCAGCTGCGGCCAGGAGCCGGCGTCTCCGCCAAGTCCCCTCCCCCTTCCTGAAAACCGACCTGGACCAGCACAAATTACAGCAAGGCACCCCTCTCCCCAATAATGTTTCTAATAAAAGAAACAGACTCTCATGCCTATATAAAAAACCGCGAGCTCTAGCTGACGGAAATAAACAGGTGAGCCCGGAGAGAAGCGGGAAAAGACTGGGAATGGGAGAATGAAGGGGTAGAAGGCGTTCCCGAACGTGCAGAGACACCGAGGCTTCCCCGCCCTCCCTCCACCCTCCTCCCCTCCGGCCAGGGAGAATCTGCGTGGCAGGGTGCAAGCTAAAAATACCACTGACGGACCCCTCTTCCCGCCCCGTGCCCGTTCTCCCTCCTACCCCAGACTCCAGCGTCCCGGCCTCGTGGTAGCGCCCGGTCCCCGGGGCCGCGCGGGGCTCGCCCTCTCTCCGGACCGCCGCCGCCGCGGGGACTCCGGTCTTCCTCTCTCCTCCCTCCCTCCTCCTCCTCCTCCACCGCCGCCGCCTCCTCTTAGACTCCTCCCGCCGGATCCTTCATGTAAACAACATCCAAGCTCTATTTACAGTCGCCGCCGGACGGCGAAGGACCCACGCCAGCACCCTGGACGCGGGCGGGGGCGGGGGAAAAGCGAGTGCGCAACATTTACACACACACCCCGCCCCTCCGCGCCGCTCCCCTCCGGGGGGCCGAGCCGGGCGCCCGGGGCTCCCCGCGTCGCCACTGACACCCCAACGAGGGCCGCGCAAAACCGCGGAAATGCCCATGGGCGAGGCCGCCTCGCTACCCCTCGGGAAGAACACGCGCGCGCTAACAACAAACCCAGCCCGGCAACACCCTCGGAGTCGGTCCGGGAGTGCTGAGGCCCGGGCCGCGCCGCCGCCCCCGCGCCCCGCCGCCTACCCCGAGGTGACGAACTGCGTGCGGTCCCCGGAGGAGGCTGAAGGCAGGCGCTAGACGCCCGGCAGTGGCGCGTCCTCGGCCCCCGGCGCCGCCTGGCCCGCCCCCAGACCCCAGTGCGGATGCCGAGCGGGCCGAGCCCCACGGTTGCGTGTGCGTGTGCGCCGCGGCCAGCCTCGCCGGAGCCGCTCTGTGCGCCCCACTGCTTCCCGCGCCCCCAGGCCGGCTCCGACGCGCCGTGAGACGGGGCCGGGAGCTCAGCGGCCAGCGCTCCACGGCGGCGCACGGGCGCGCACTCGGACGTCCACACTCCGCACCCCGAGCCCCGCGCGGCCGCACGCCCCACGCCGCCCGCCGCCCGCCTCACGCCTCCCGCCTCCCGCCTCCCGCGGGCGCTTGGCCCAGCGCGCCCCGCCGCCGCCCCCGCGCCCGGCCGCCGCCCCCACACCCACCTGCGCCCCCGGGGGTCCCGGGCCCCCCTTCCTTTGTTCTTCCCGCTATTTGCATGAGGATTATCTAATGACGCAGCAAGGCTCGCCACAACGTGACCGTCGCCATTTTTCTGTTTTTATTCTATCTCTGCCATGTGATAGATGGCGGGGGGGTTGGAAAAGGGAGAGAGACTGGATTAAAAAAAAAAAAAAAAAACTTCCGGGTCTCATGACCGGGAAGGGAGAAAAACAAAAGGGAGACGAGACACAACTCTAGGGGAAGGATGTGTGTGCGTGCGTGTGTGTGTGAGAGTGTGTGTACGTGCGCGCACCCTCCCTCCTCTGCTGCCCGAAGGGAGGCTCCGGCAGGGGACAGGCAGCATCCATCCTCCCACCCTGGAGACCAGTGACCCCGGTGGGTCCAGCTCGCACCCTCTGGCTGTGGCGGTCGCCTGTCCCGGCCCCGCACGCGCCGCAGAAGCTGGGGGAGCTGTCAGTCTGCTCCCCTCCTCTGGCTGCCTTCACTCGCCCATCCGCCCCAGAGCTCGCTCTCCCTCTCGGGCGGCTGTACCGTTGTGGGCTACGTTCAGAGAAGTCTCACAATTGCCATGAGCAGGGACATAATAGAGTTTAAAGGCCGCCGTATTTCCTAAGTTTTAAAACAGTTTGCTTCGATGCTGTCGTTTATGACAACCGCGTGGCAACACCAGGCACAATCTAATGTAGGTTCCAATTCTTCCCCTCTTTTTCTACCCCCGTTTTCCCCCTTTTCCCAGTGTGGGACACACCCAGGTGTGGTCTTCAATGAGGACTGGTTTTGTGGGGATGGACCATTCAGTACGGATTGATTTATTTAAGTACCGCTTATTTAAATAAGTGGTTGTTCAGAGTCAGAGAGGAATGTTTCAGAAGACAGTTGCATAGAGCAAGGTGGATTCGTGTTACACTGATCTTATTCACATTCAGAGGGCGTGATACACATTTCATTCTTTCCGAAGTTCACGGTTGCTGAAAAAAAAATATTTGGGAACTCTGCCACGTTTTCCGGTGAGATATAGAATTTTGTACTCGTGTTTACTACTGGGTTCCCTTCTGTAACTTTCACTTTTGTTTCTCGTGAATTTCCCTTCTGGTTTTGGGTTTTTTGTTTTTTGTTTTTGTTGTGTGTATGTGTGGTTTTTTTTTTTTTTTTTTTTTTTTTTTTGCCTCGATTTCATAATTCGGAGCAGAAATGGACTTTATAGTTGAGCAGGGTTCCTGGCTTTTACAGGCAGAGAAACAGAGGCTCTGAGTAGTGCTAGGAGTTGCTCTAGGGCACACATTTAATTAGAGCCCAGCCTGGATTGTGCCTTGCTCACCTGTCGTTTCTCTTAGGGGTTGGCAATAGAGGATAGGGTGGGGATGGAACTCACAGAACATCGCTATGTGATTGTTGTGAATTATTTTTATTAGACTCACAGAGTTGACCACTCCCCACTTTGTGCACCCACTGTGTGGTTTTTACATTTATTTCCTGGTGCCTTTCACAGATCAGCGTACAGCACAGTTGCTGTGTCTCCCTCTGAAGCTAAGCTCCAGAGGGCCATGCCATATTCATTTTATATCTCCCATATTTAGCACCATGACTAGCAATGAATGAACAAATGAAGGCCTGAAGAGGATCTTTTCCATAATTCCATCCTAGGAAATTCCTTGCATGTTTCTGGTGAAGGTAGAACACTGGAGATATTTTTTGATTCTTACACCTTTACAGACCATTTTTGGCAGGCTTCTTTAGTCACAAAGCCAGGCAAAATATGTTTTGCTTTTCTCAATTTTTAAAATCAACTGCTTCCCCCGCCCCCCGCCCCTCGTTTTACCATATTTGATTCCTCTTCTTTAAATTCTTTCTAATTCATATGAATAAATTAGTTATGCCAACCCTTGCACTTTGTGAGTTGCTTTTGCTTTTAGACTCCAAAAGTTTGGTAAAGTTTAAGCTGTGATTTAACCGTGCAGACTGGAGGCAAATCATCATGGGCAGACAAGACTCTGATTCTTCCTGGTATCAGTGAACTGGGAGGTTGGCGGTTGAGCAGGCAAAAGAGGGCTGTTGAAAAGATGTTAGCATCAGGCAAAAAGTACACATTTACCAAACAACAAAACAAAACACAGAATAACTGCCATATACAATTACATTTACAGCTCAGAGGAGGATCTGGATTGTCACAGATAAGTTATGATACATCTAGACTATTAAGGTTGCATTGCATATCTGAACATGATCTGCATGTATTCCTCTGGATGGGGTAAATGAAGTTGGTATGAATGATTGTAACATGTACAACTCATATGTTCCTGGTGGATAATAGTGTGATAATAATTTAAGTGTATCATCAGTTTGCAGTCAAGGTGAAGATGAAGTCTAATTATATACGTAAAGTCATTTGTTCTTTTAAATACAAAACTGAACAGAAAAAAAGAACATGGCTCAAAATATAGTTTTAAGAAATACCTCCATACCTCTTGTCTTACACACATGTGCACTCACACATTTTTAAAATATCAAACTTTAGTCTTCTGAGGTACCATGTAGTGACTGATTAAAGAAAGTTCTTATAAACACCTCACCAATCTTCCTGTCTCCAATATATACTTGAAAATGACAATTCCTGGAGTCATGTTGAGAGCATAGACTTTGGAGTCTGGTACTAATCTCAGCTCTGCCAATTTGTTAACTGTGTCAGTCTGGGCAAGTTACTTATCAGTTGCGATTCTTAGTTTCTTTACCCGTAACATGAGCATTATAACAGCTAGCTCAGAGAAGAGTTTTTAGAATTGAGGTATAATTAGAATGTATTAAGACATATGTAAAGCACCTAGCATGATACTTGGAACATAATCTTCAATAAAGGGTCATTATAATAATTTTTAAATTACATTTTATTTACCCCATGCACTTCCCAGAATTATTCTTTCCCTTTTGGCTGCCTGACCTTGGAATTCAATAAACCTACTATTAATGAAAGTTCTGTGACTGTGAAGATAAATCAGAATAGTTCCTGCCCTCAAAGAATCCACACGTCAGCTTTGAAAGAGACACAGATACAAGAAACTAGACTGATAATGGTAACTGAAGGAGAAGACCACTTTGTACCAGTTTATGATGATCTACTTGGTATGTGTTTAATTAAGATTGGTTTTTTTTTTTAAGATTTACTAATATCCACACAATGATAAAGCTTGTGGAAGCAGGAAAATTCAAGAAAAAAACTCACATTTTCACATAAATGAAGAATATTATCTTTAAAACTCCATCTAGTCAGTATAATTCCTCAGCTTTAAAAAACAATTTTCTGGTCCATTATAAGAAGCAGGCTTCTTTTGCATTCATGTGAAAAATATGCCAGGTTGTACCTTTGAAGTAATGTTGGAGAAATGTAGTTAATAGGAAGCACTTCTGGTTGTTAATTACTTAGACCACTTTAATCAAGAACTATTTTCTGAGAAACTTATTCCCAGCCCTGGGTCAGGTGCTAAAGAAACAAAGATGATGAAGATATAGACTTTGCCCTTGTGGAACTCATAATCTAAGAATCAAATGTTTATTGATAACCTACAGGGGATGCAATATGGAAAGAGATATTGAGCTTAGTCTATTGAGAGATTGATATATACACATATCTTTCTAGCTTCCTCAAGAAGTATGTGATTGACACTGGATTTGGGCAAGACACTATATTATATGTATAAAAATATATTCTATGCTCCACCAGAGCTTTTTGTTGTTGTTGTTCCTTAAAACAAAGAGTAGGCTGGGTGTGGTGGCTCACGCCTATAATCCCAGCACTTTGGGAGGCTGAGACAGGTAGATCACAAGGTCAGGAGATTGAGACACCGTCTCTACTAAAAAAAAAAAAAAAAAAAAATTAGCTGGGCATGGTGGCATGCACCTGTAGTTTCAGCTACTCGGGAGGCTGAGGCAGGAGAGGCAGGAGAATCACTTGAACCCGGAAGGTGGAGATTGCAGTGAGCCGAGATCACGCCACTGCAGTCCAGCCTGGTGACAGAGCAAGACTCTGTCTCAAACAAAACAAAAACAAAAATGAAGAGTAGCTCTTGAAAGAATAGTTCGGTCTCCAGAGCCCAAGTGAACCTGGGAGCCGTGCTAGCTTTAGGCAGAACTGTGAAGTGGGTTAAGTTATTTTCAATTTCCCTCAAATCTGAACTATTGAAATAGCTTTCTGGTCTCTCAGTTCCTGTCCTTCTGAACTCTGTTTTGTTTCCCACAGGCTATTACAATGATTCTAAAACACAAACCGTGTTATACTGTTCCCCTGCTTATAAAAACTTTCCTGGCTCCCCATTATCTGCCAAGCATGGCACACAAGACCCTTTGTGATCTTGCTCTGCCAAGCCTTCCAGCCTCATCCTCCATCACACCCACAGGAAGAGTTGCCAGATTTAGTAAATAAAAATGTGAGATCCATAGTTAAATATAAATTTCAGATAAACAATACATTTTTGTCATAAACATGTCCCAAATATTGCATGACACATACTTATACTAAAACATTTCCATTGTTTATCTGAAATCCAAATTTCAGTAGGCATCCTATATTTTATCTGGCAACGCTACTCATGCCAGGCTGATTGATTAACTTTCCAATTCCTACTAGTCTCTTCTTGCCTTTGCAGTGCCTGATAACCTCTACACCATGTCCCTTATCCACATGATATTCTTTGCTACTTCTTCAAAGCCAGGCATGGAGTTCTGGAACTCTGCGGGTGTGAGCTTGGAATCCAATGTGCCTGAGGACGGGCCTCGCCACCTGTGTGCTTTGTTTACTATCTGGGCTTCTGCCCCAGTTCCTGTTCACCCTTTCCATTCTCCCTCCTGGAACTGGAGTTCTGCCCTGAACCCCAGTTTACTTGGCTGGAGTCCACATATAGTTTTTCACCCTTGCCAGCGCTCTCTCTGGGACTGTGGGTAAGAGCCTTTCTCCCAGCTGCTGGGCAGGCTTCTGATCTAAACAGGATGGATCATTGAAACCTGCCACAGATGCTGCTACTTTTTTGTCTTGCTTGCTACAAAGGATGGACAAGAAACTCAAATGAAATCAAGTTTGTGAAGTAGTTTGTAAAGTGTAACATCTCCATTATGGTGGTTTAACTTACAGAGAAAGTTCGAGCTCTTACTGGTATTGCACGTGAAAGCCCCACTGTAAAGTGCCCCAGATTCCTCTTGTTTCTGCTCATGCCTAGTGATATATGATGCTGAAAATGATGTGGAAAATGTCCAAATGTTCTTGAATTTTGATTAGTACATTCTGCCGCACTGGTTATTGCATTATGGATGGAGACGGGAGAATTGCTTGAACCCGGGAGACAGTGGTTGCAGTGAGCCGACATCACACCACTGCACTTCAGCCTGGGCGGCTGAGTGAGACTCTGTCTCAAAAAAAAAAAAAAAAAAAATTGTAATTTTATGAACCAGGACATACCTTTTCACAACTGAAACCAAAGTCTCACGAACTGTCTTATCCTAAGTATGTGTAATGCACTCTATTTTCTATTTTATTTCATTTTTTTAAAAATTGGTCAACCCATCAGATTAATTTTGTAACTCACTAATGGATTGTTACCTGCATTTTCCCAGACACTGATATGTACTATCTAATGAGATTCCCTATATTAACCAACTGATTGGGACAATTGTTAAATGCAATTGTTAAATGTTTACCTCATTTGGTGCTAGGGCCATAGGAATCACCCTGCCCACTAAAGGAGTGAGGCTACCTCACTGAGGTAAGTCACAGTTGTTCCCACTGCTAAGATCAGAAAGTGCAGTACTGCAGCCAGACTTTCAAAGCTACCTGAGATTAATATATATAATTCCTGGCTGGGCCATTTTTAAAAAGGGATAGCTGCAAAATTACCACAACTACATTTATCTTAGAGGGATATTGTTTGGAGGCAACTCTTTCTTAGACTGTTTAAATCATTCCTGGTTAGGTTAAAGAGACTTTTAGGTTTCTGAGGTTTCACGTCAATTTCAGAGATAAGAAAATATAAAATAAAAGCTTACTCACTGCTATGATTTTGTTTTACTCTCCGTTCCCTAAATGGTGAGCCGATTAGTCTAATATTCAGATTTCACTCTAATCGGCTGCTTTGAGAGTCTGGGAAACACTAGATTCCAAAGAAAATAAGGAAACGTATATACATATATGTATATATAAGTATGGTCCAAATGGAATGGAAAGACTACACAACATGTAAGGAATTCTTCCTTTGATACAGGTACTCAATCCAGTCCTCTTCTGCCCATCTCCTTCTCCTAACATGTCTTCCCTAACTTACAGCTGCCTCATTCCTTTTTTTCCTTCTGATAGAGTTTTGTTGGTTTTGTTGATCATGGAAAGATCAGTTTCAGCTCAGTGGTGCACAAAAGCTGGATTGGAGAGAATTTAAGAGAGAATAATAGGAGAAGAGGAATTAGAAACAGCTAGTATAGACAACTGGCTACAAGGATTACAGAGAAATAAGATGGTAACCAATAAGGGAAGTGCAGTCAAGAGGAGATTTTTGTTTTTGAAATGGTTGACACAACAGCATGGTTGTATACTGATCCAGTAGAGGAAAAATTGATGGTAGGGTAGACAGGGAGGATTTGCTGGTCTAGTGTTCTTGATTCTGCGAGAGGGGTGAGATCTGATGCACAAGTGGAGGCTTTTGCATGGCTGCACCAAGAATGCTTCCTTATTGACAGGGAGAAAGGCAGGGCCTAGAGCCTTACCCCTGCATCGATAAGTGGGCATGGTAAGAGTGAATGGAAGTTCTCTTCTGATTCTTCAGTTTTGTCAGTGAGGAAAGAAGCACAGTCAGCAGCTGAGAGTGAGGATGGGGGAGAAGAGAAGAACAGAGATGAAAATGTCCATGAATAGAGTAGGAGAGTGAAAGGATCAGAGAAATACAGGACATTTGCTGGGAAATAGCAAGAGCCTACTTAAGTTCCTAGTGACACGTTTAAAGTAAGACCAAACAGCATGGTGTGTGGGTGGGTGGGTGTGTTTGTCTATCTGTCTGTCTGTTTTCCATCTATGACCAGCTCATGGGTACAGAAACAGTATGGGTGGAAAGTTGGATTTAACTGGAGTTGCAATTTCGCCCACCAGCATGACAGAATTAAGGTGGTCAGGGAGTTCAGGGAGTGGTTATACAGATCGACTCTGATATTTAAGCTGGTTAAAGATGGAACAGAGGGCTTCATATGGCTATGGCTATGGCAGTTAAGACAGAAATGGTGCCTCAGATGTGCCTCCCTCTGGTCTTTGCATGACTGGCTCCCTCTTGTGGTTCAGTCATTCTGTGATCTCACCCTTTTAACTGCAGAGGACTTAAGTTGTTTTCTTATTACTTTCTTTTATTTATCCACCCGCATATCTGTGCTATGCTTTATATTATTAGAATATAAGCTCCATAAGAGCAAGCATCTTGTCAGTAATGTTCATTGTTTTACAGCCACAGCACTTATTTGACTTATTTGGCAGAGTGAAGACAACAAGTATTTAACGGAAGAATGAAGAATGATTAGAACATGATTATAAGGCCTTCGCCATCCTGCGCATGGTCTTCTACATGTGCTCCTGTTCGTCAGTTTTCTCTTTCTAACCTCCACCAAGAGAGAAGATGCTCCCCCAGGGTTAGGGCTACTTGCTAATCAATCCACTCCAGGTCTCCCACAAGGCCTTCCAAAGCTCTGGGGAGGCCAGAGCTCAAGGAGAAATTTACCCCAGAGTTACTGAGGCACCAGATGTTTCAGAGGCCAGCCAAAGAGGAAGGAGGTGCCATAAAGACATAATTGCTTTCCGTTTTGTTTTGAATTTGTTTTTTTTTTTTTAAGACAGGGTCTCACTTTGTCTCCCAGGCTGGAGTGCAGTGGTACAATCTCTGCTCACTTCAACCTCCACCTCCTGGGCTCAGGTGATCCTCTTGCCTTAGCCTCCCAAGTAGCTGGCACTACAGGTATGCACTACCACGCCTGGCTAATTTTTGTATTTTTTTGTAGTAATGGGGTTTTGTCATGTTGACCAAGCTAGTCTTGAACTCATGGGCTCAAGCAATCCACCTGCCTCTGCCTCCTAAAGTGCTGGGATTACAGGACTGAGCCACCACATCCAGTGTAGAATACTTTCATCACCACAAAAAGTTCTCACCTGCCTGTTTGCAGTCCGTCTCTGCTCCCACCAGCAGCCCTAGGAAACCACTGATCTTTCTGTCTCTACAGTTTTGCCTTTTCTAAAATTTTCATATAAACAGATTCACACAATATATAGTCCTTTGTGTCTGAGTCCTTCAATTTCTTATCATGTTTTTATTGTGAATAATATTTTACACTATAGATACACAACATTTTGTTTATTGAGTCATCAGTTGATGGACATTGTTTCCAGGTTGAGGGCTAATTATGAATATACTGCCATGAATATTTGTATACACATTTTTCTGTGGACATAGACTTTTTATTTCTGCTGGGTAGATACTTCAGAGTTGAATTGCTAAGTTAAATAAGTTTAAGTGGCTGCACCATTTTACATTCCCACCAGCAATATATGAGTTTCTCCATATCCTGGCCAACACTTAGTCAATCTTTTTGTTTTAGCCATTCTAGTAGGTGTGTAGTGGTATCTCACTTTGCTTTTAATTTGCATTTTTCAGATAACTTATGATGTTCAGCATCTTTTCATGTGCTTATTTACTATTTATATATCTTCTTTGGAGAGAAGATATGTAATAGCTAAGTAATCATTTTCTTAAATATTTTGTGCATATTCTTTTTTTTTTTTTTTTTTGAGACAGGATCTCACTTTGTCACCCAGGCTGGAGTGCTGTGGCACAATCACGGCTCAGTGCAGCCTCAACCTCCTGGGCACAAGTGATCCTCCCGCCTCATTCCCCCAAGTAGCTGAGATTACAGGCCCATGGCACCCTACTCAACTAATTTTTGTATTTGTTTGTATTATTTTGTTCCACTATGTCACCCAGGCTGGTCTTGAATTCCTGGGCTCAAGCAGTCCTCTAGCCTTGGCCTCCCAAAGTGCTGGAATTACAGGCATCAGCAACTGTGCATGGTCTATTTTGCTAATTTCTTACTGGGTTGTTTATTTTCTTCTTGCCGAATTTTAGACTTTTTAATATATTATGAATGCAAGGCCTTCATCAGATGTATGTTTTGCAAATATTTTCATTTCTCAGTGGTGTCTTTTGAAGAGCAGAAGTTTTAATTTTTATAAAGTTTTAACTTTATAAAAAATTTTTTTCTGTCATGTGCGAGAAATCTGCCTAATGGAAGGTTGCAAAGATTTTGCTCTGTTTTATTCAAGTTGTTGTATATAATGTGAAGTTAAGGTCAAATTTCATCTTTTTGCATGTGATTATTCAGCCGTTCCAGCACCTTCTGTTGAAAAGACTATTCTTTCCCCACTGAATTACTTGGCACGTTTCTTGAAAATCAATTGAACCAAAGTGTGGGCCGCACAATGGCTCAGGCCTGTAATCCCAGCACTTTGGGAGGGCAAGGAGGGCAGATCACCAGAGGTCCAGAGTTCAAGACCAGCATGGCCAACAGGGTGAAGCCCCATCTCTACTTAAAAAAATACGAAAATTAGCCAGGTGTGGTGGCACGCATCTGCAATCCCAGCTACTCAGGAGGCTGAGGCAGGAATATTGCTTGAACCCGGGAGGCAGAGGTTGCAGTGAGCCAAGATTGTGCCATTGCACTCCAGCCTGGGTGAGAGTGAGACTCTGTCTGAAAAACAACAACAACAACAAAGAAGTGTGAAGGTCTGCTACTGGACCTTCTATTCTTCCATTTATCTAAGTATCTATTGTTCTGTCTTTATAACCTTTCTTGATTATGCTAGCATTGTAGTAAGATTTAGAATCAGGTAAATCCTTCAACTTTTTCTTTATCAAAATTGTTTCACTATTCTGGATTCTTTGCACTTTCATATACTTTTTTGCCACATGAAAGTTATTAGCTTATTAATCTTCTTATGAAAAGTCCACACAGTGGCTGCAGATAATGTCATTGAAGCATCTTTATTCCTTTGGCTTTTGCCAACACCACCATTGGCCTTTGCAATGGTGAGTTTCTTTGTTCTGTTCTTGTGTTCTTTTTGAGGTCTTTTCTTCTCATCTAAGCCACATCTTGCAAGTCTATGTTTGGCTTCATTTTTCTTTGCATAACCCAAGGAATCATAAATCATGTCAAAGCCAGTTGTCTTGCCACCACCAAAATGAGTTCTGAATCCAAATATATTCCCACCAGCAATATATGAGTTTCTCCATATGCTGGTCAACACTTGTTCACTTTTAGCCATTCTAGTAAGTGTGTAGTGGTATCTCATTTTGGTTTTAATTTGCATTTTTCTGATGACTTATGATGTTCAGCGTCTTTTTTATTTTGAGACAGAGTCTCACTCTGTCGCCCAGGCTGGAGTGCGGTGGTGTGATCTTGGCTCCCTGCAACCTCCACCTCCCAGGTTCAAGCAATTCCCATGCCTCAGCCAAGTAACTGACCAGTGTGGTCTTGTGCATTTTGGATAGTTTTCCCCAAATTTCTGTGTTTGGATACTGATAACTTTCCGGGGTGAAGGACATCAATGACCATTTGTTCATTCAAGAAGTTGACTGGTCATAAAGTTCCTGGTTCAGTTAGTTACTGTGTCATTCCTGATGGCGATCAATCCTCAGGTAGCCAGTTCCATATAAATTTTAGGAATAACTTGTCAATTTAAGGAAAAAAGGGCTGGACGTGGTGGCTCATGCCTGTAATCTCAGCTCTTTGAGAGGCCAAGGCAGGAGGATTGCTTGAGCCCAGTAGTTCAAGACCAGTCTGGGCAATATAGTGAGACCCCTTCTCTAAAAATAATTTTTTTTTTGTAATTAGCCAGGCATGGTGGTGCACACCTGTAGTCTCAGCTACTTGAGTGCGCTGAAGTGGGAGGATTGCTTGAGCCTGGTAGTTTGAGACCAGCCTGGGCAATATAGTGAGACCCCTTCTCAAAAAAAAATTTTTTTTTTTTTAAATTAGCCTGTCATGTTGGTACACACCTGTAGTCTCGGGTAGTTGAGGGGCTGAGGTGGGAGGATTGCTTGAGCCCAGGAGTTTGAGACCAGCCTGGACAATATAGTGAGACCCCTTATGTTTAAAAAATGTTTTTTAATTAGCCAGTCAGGGTGGTGCACACCAGTAGTCTCAGGTAGTTGAGGGGCTGAGGTGGGAGGATTGCTTGAGCTCAGGAGTTTGAGACCAGCCTGGACAATATAGTGAGACCCCTTATGTTAAAAAAATGTTTTTTAATTAGCCAGTCAGGGTGGTGCACAACTGTAGTCTCAGGTAGTTGAGGGGCTGAGGCGGGAGGATTGCTTGAGTCCGGGAAGTTGAGGCTGCAGTGAGCCATGATTGCACAACTGCATAGAGCAAGACTCTGTCTCAACAACAACAAAAATAGCCTATGAGGATTTTGACAGATACTACATTGAATTTATTTTATTTATTTATATATATTTTTTTTTGAGAGACAGAGTCTTGCTCTGTCACCCAGGCTGAAGTGCAGTGGCATGATCATATAATATCTCACTGCTACCTCAAACTCCTGGGCTCATGGGATCCTCCCACCTCAGCCTCTGCAGTAGCTAGAACTACAGGCACATGCCACTATACCCAGCTATTTTTTTTTTTTTTTTTTTTGGTAGAGACAGTATCTCGCTATGTTGCCCAGGTTGGCCTCAAGCAACCTCCAGCCTTGGCCTCCCAAAGTGTTGGGATTACAGGCTTGAGCCACCACATTCAGCCTACACTGAATTTACACATCAATATTGGGAAATTGTCATCTTAACAATATTGAATCTTCCAACTCATGGATATCATATCTCTCCCATTTTGTGTAAGTCCTTTTAAATTTATCTTAGCAGTGTTTTGTACAAGTTTGCCTTTCTCTTGTCTAATTTATTCCTAAGTATCTTATTCTTTTGATGCTCATTAAACAGACTTACTAGTTTTGATACGTTTTTGTAGATTCTTTGCAATTTCTTACATACAAGATAATGTTGCTTGAGAATCACAATAGCTTTTAAACTCTTTGCTCACTGCCTCTCAATTAACCCTCTCACTCCATCTAGCACCCAAGACCATAACCCAAAAATATCCGAATGCTTCTCTTCTAAGGATAGAGCTGTGTATCCTTAAATTTCTCCTAAAGATTGGAATGTTCCACCAACAGTAGTGTTGATCTTCTAGTATGGAAGTGTGCTACGTCCATCTCTAGTACAAAGATAAACATGTCACAAGAACCATGCATTCATGCACTTAGGATTATTTTCCCCTTTGCCCCTGTGACTTGTGTGTATCTTTGCTTCAGTCATTGACCAACCATCCTACAGATGGCTATACTCTTTTAGATAAGTTTTAGGTAAGTTTCTGTCTGTAGTAATTTTGTCTTTGCTCAAATCTCAGACAGTTCTCTCATAGTTACCTCTTGACCACTGGGATATTTTTGGATCCTGATTCTGCCATTCAACATATTAGTTATTGCAACAAAATTCATGCTTTCTCATATTTGGGCAGTAAATCATAGTCTTTAGCCAAGTAAATTTTGAACAAAATTCTTATAGCAGAGACAGACCACTGTGGCATGGCATTGGAGACCTTCTCTCTGGTTGCCTTTGATCAGCAATTAGTACTCTTTAGGAATGATTGCTCTGCTAATTACACATGAACTTACCTATGCTTCCTTTCTTCAACTGTAAAATGAGGATAATAATAGTACTCTCCTCACAAGACTGTTGTAAGGATTAGATGACTAAACATATGTAATGAAGCCACAGTAGTACCTACCACAGAGAAGTGCGCAAGAAAGTGAGTCATGTTGGGCATTGTGGCTCATGGCTGTAATCTCAGCACTTTGGGAGGTCGAGGTGGGAGGATCACTTGAGCTCAGGAGTTCAAGACCAGCCTGGGCAACATAGGGCGACTTCATCTCTAAAAAAAAAGAAAGAAAGTGAGTCATTATTATTTGGGGAAGAAAGAAAAGACTCTACAGTCAATAGCGTGCATCCTTAGACAAGTTATTTAACTCTTATCAGTTTCTTCATCTTAAAATAATTGTAAAAACAGTGCCTTATTCATAAGGTTTTTGTGAGAATTAAATGAAATAATGCAGATAGAGTAACACCATGCACGGCACTCAATCAGTATTTGTTGCAATGATAATTACTGACATTCAATTTGTACACATTTTTATCTCCCCTCCACTGCAATCCTCCTGTCAAATTATTTCCAAAAGCTTGAGGATATTTGGACACATTACATTTATAGCACTTCGCTGATCAACCTACTTGATAACTTAGTAGCCAGTTTAGAGTATTATGGTTAATTTAAGTCATCATTTATTTATTTATTTATTTTTATTTTTTTGAGACAGAGTCTTACTCTATCGCCCAGGCTGGAGTGCAATGGCGCAATCTTGGCTCGCTGCAACCTCCGCCTCCCGGGCTCAAGTGATTCTTCTGCGTCAGCCTCCTGAGCAGCTGGGATTACAGGTACTCACCACCACGCCCAGCTAATTTTTGTATTTTTAGTAAGATGGGGTTTCACTATGTTGACCAGGCTGGTCTCAAACTCCTGACCTCGTGATCTACCCACAGATCATGGCCTCCCAAAGTGCTGGGACTACAGGCGTGAGCCACCACACCCAGCTAAGTCATCTTTTAAAATTCTTCTAAAATTCTAAAATGCAAGCAAAATTCTTATTTAAATGTTTTATTTATTTATTTATTTATTTATTTATTTATATTTATTTTTATTTTTTTGAAACGGAGTCTCGCTCTGTCCCCCAGGCTGGAGTACAGTGGCATGATCTTGGCTCACTGTTTAATTTATATATATACACATATATGTATACAAATATATAATGGCCAGAATGTTAATTTTGGGTTCATTTTATGAGACTCTAGACTTGTATGTTTTATATGCTATATGTAGTGTTTATAAGAGTACTCTGGGGATCAGCCCTTGAAAAATTGTGTTCATTTTATAGGCTATGAGGCACAGTTTGATTATTCAAAGTTATTATGAAGGTATATGTTTGATTTTATCACTGCTTCTTCCTTTGATTTATTTGGTGCTGAGAATGTAGCTCAGGAATGCAACCACTAATGACAGAGCTGTTTCTATGAGAAAATAGTCTGCCCCTCAGTGATCAATTGTGATATGGAATCTAGGACTCACTGTGGTGGAAGCAGTTGCTGCTTGCCAAATCACAACACTCCCTGTGTGTTAGGAAAAGACATCCCAAATCTGAAAGGTAGGATTTCCAAAAAACAAACAATTCAGAAGTTAATGCCTCATAGCAACTAAGAAGTAAGACTTGATTTTTTGGTGTAGTTTTTTCAAAGTACTACATGTCAAATTTTCTAAAAGTATCTGTGTGTGTGGGTAATACAAAATGTTGCAAGTCAGAACCACTTGGATTTTATTTTCTATCCTGTGCACTGTTAAAAAGAATTGGGGCGCATTACCTATCAATTTTATTTCTTTTTTTCCTCAAAATGCAGATAATAATTACAAAATATTAAATGATAAATATAAAGTACAGAACATAGTACCTGGCACATGGTAGGTGCTCAATAAATGTTTCCTTCCTTTTTCATTGTCATTGATGGTCCATTACAAAATATATATTAAAAGAAAAGATGCTGAAAGCCTGGTAGATTTGGGTACTTCTATGTCAAAGATACCATTCATGGCCTTTCATAAGTGATTCAAAAAATTAACATGTGCCTCAACTTCTACCTTGCTGTGAACTCTTGAAAGGCGGCAACAAATCCTTTTAGAGTTTCTTACAACAGAGAAAATCCAACTGTGATCTACAGAATATTGGCTCCTCTGTTTTGTTCTTAGATTTCCTCTCAACAGTTGCTTGCTGTGGTTTCTTAGGTTACAGGTACAATTAGTGAACTAAGGATTTAAGGTATGAGGCTTATTATTATTATTGGCTTTAATGTAACTATGGCTTATGCCTTATTATTTCTGGACTTAAGTCATCACTGTCATTATCAGGCCTGCTGATCATCAGTCATTTCAGGGCCAAAAATAACAAAAGCACCAGAAACTGAAATACTGAAGACAATATAATCAACTCTGTTATTCAAGGACTTATTATTTCAAATCTCCGATTTAGAATTTGTTAGAATTTCCCAACTGGATGCGCATTTGAGTGTAACTTTGTTATGTGAGTAGCAAAATACTTTGCAAAGCCAAATAATAAACAAGATTGCAGGAGGAATGTTCAACCCGCTAAAGAAAACAGTAGGATGAGAACATTGAGAACCCATAGAAGTTTCCATTTACTTAAAGAATTAGAAGCATGCATGTATACACTAAGATACCACAATATATTTGGCTGATCTATTTTCTTCTCTGTCTCCCTCATTAGACTTGGCTTTTTTGAGAATAGGAACAAAGTTCCTGTAAGAGTAGGTTTTTGTACATGTTAGCTGAATTAGTAGGTCCTTCAGTGCTGCGTGGATGGCTTAGGTGTTAATCATATTCATGAATCTCTTACCAAACACACACACACACACACACAGACACACAGGTGCAAAATTCTGTCAGTAGGATTCACTGAGCTGGAGTTAGGATTGCAAGAGGTTTGTTGGGGATAATTATGCCTATAAAAGATAAGAGTGGGGAAGAAGCAGGATTGTGTAGGAAAAGCCTCAGACCACGATGTGGATCTGAGAATGTCTTGGTTGACCCTCTGGAAAGTTCTGGAACAAAGATAACTCATTAGAAAAGCCCCACATTAGGCAAAAATAGCCAGACCCTAGTATCCCTACCATGCTTAGTTATTGACTGGGGGATGGCCAAGAAGAGCATGACCTCAGCTCAATAGCTGAGACAGATCCTGCAGATGCTAACAAATGGAGGCTATTGGCTAACTGCACTGCTTGCAGCTGAGCAGCAACTTCTTTCTTAAAGGAAGATCTGAGTGATGCACCTTTGTGGTTACCACAAGCCCTGAGATAATGAACCTCCCTCATAACACAAATTCAGATATGAGGTGATTGACTCTGATTGCCACTTCCGAAAACGTCTGCCCACCTCTTCTCTGAGGAAGCATGAACAGAAAGTCTTGGGTGGACAAAGACAGAGAGCTGTATTTCACTGAGTCCCCAGGGTCTGGAAACTTGGTTGACAATAAGAGAATCAGCCAACTGGAAGATTCGGTGAATTGCTACTGTTGAAACCCAGCCAGGGCCAGATGTGGTGGCTCACGCCTGTAATCCCAGCACTTTGGGAGGCCGAGGTAGAAGGATTGCTTGAGCCCAGGAGTTCAAGACCAGTCTGTGTAACACAGCAAGACCTCTACAGATAATTTTTAAAATTAGCCAGACGTGGTGATACACACCTGTGGCCCAGCTACTTGGGAAGCTGAGGTGGGTGGATTGTTTTAACCTGGGTGGTCATGGCTGTGGTGAGCCATGATTGCACCACTGCACTCCAGCCTGGGTGACAGAACGAGACCTCATCTAAAAGGAAGGATGGAAGGAAGGGAGGGAAGGAGGGAGGGAGGGGTGTGGTGGCTCACACCTGTAATCCCAGCACTTTGGGAGGCCCAGGTGGGCAGATCATGAGGTCAGGAGATCGAGACCATCCTGGCTAACACGGTGAAACCCCGTCTTTACTAAAAATACCAAAAAATTAGCCGTGTGTGGTGGTGGGCGCCTGTAGTCCCAGCTACTTGGGAGGCTGAGGCTGGAGAATGGCATGAACCCGGGAGGCAGAGCTTGCCTTGAGCCAAGATCGTGCCACTGCACTCCAGCCTGGGCAACAGAGCAAGACAAGAAAGAGAAAGAAAGAAAGAAAGAGAGAAAGAGAGAAAGAAAGAAGGAAAAAGAGAAAGGTCGAGAGAAGAGAGAGAGAGGAAGAAAAGAAAGAAAGAAAAGAATGAAAGAAGAAAGAAAGAGAAAGAAAAAGAAATGAAAAGAAGAAAGAAAGAGAAAGAAAAAGAAGGAAAGAAGGAAAGAAGGAAAGAAGGAAAGAAAGAAAGAAAGAAAGAAAGAAAGAAAGAAAGAAAGAAAGAAAGAAAGAAAGAAAGAAAGAAAGAAAGAAAGAAAGGAGAAAGAAGGAAAATCCAGCCAGCCACAGTTCCCAGAATCATTTTCATGAATATTTAAAGTAGAGAGGACAGTCACTAATAGGAAGTGCTAAACCACAGCCAGGGGATGGATGGCACCAACTGACTCCCCTCCCGAGTCT